TCAATCATACACGCGAAAATGTCAGGCAAATCTAAGTCCTCTTGACCCAATCAACAAATCAAGATGAGCCTCCATCAGCAGAGGAAACATTCTTATAGGATTTGTCTTTGACTTAGCCTGAGTGCGTAAAAATATGGTGTCATGTCATCTGTTTGTGTGACCCGAGTGGTAGTGGAAGTGGCCGATCCAAAATTTTCTGCTTAAGACAAAATTGTGAGTGGAGAATCTATTGGTGCTTCAAATGATTTATGTTGAATATCTCAATATTCCCTAATAATAAGCTAATAATTTCCTTCAAGATAAAAAAGTTCAGATTCTACCTTTTTATCCAACCGATTGATTATTGCACAACAAGTAATGCTCAATTAACCACTTGATTTGGCTTCCACAAAGAGAAAAATAATTGGAAGAGCAGCTCAAGAACTAGCAGCTTGGCTTCTGCTAAGAAAAAAGCTTTAATTTATACGTACTCATTGATGCTTTTGTTGGATGCAGTGTCTCTGGTGATTCCAAGAAGAAAATCGGCCGATTTTAGATCCATCATCTGTCACATAGATGGTCGATATGAGCTATTCAGGAGCATTTTTATTACAGATTTTACTTCAATAGAGCCAGTGCCAGGCCTGGACGTCAATCCCTTCAGTCTCTCTATGATGGCTGCTAAGCTCGCCTATGAGAACGGTGCTTTCATAGAAAACCAAGTTAATAAATATTGGAAGGTACAAACTATCCCTTATTTTTTTTTCTCTTTTTAAATATATAGATGTTTTAAAAAATAACTACATGTGCGTTGGGTGTTGGGTTTAGGTTAACACAGAATTTTCATATATGACCTTTCTTACCTTCAAATATTAGCTTCGTTTGGAACAGCTTTCTTACAATCTTACTGCTTCTTAAAGATGCTTTTTCAAACGAAACCATAATGTCGCCCTAATTTAATCTCTTAACTATACAAACTTGATCATAGATGATCTTTTTGGAGCTAAATTGAGATCAATTTTGTAAAATCGATGAACTATAGTAGTATCAATTTTATATGAAAATTGTAACATGAGGGATTATTTTGAAAAAAAATTAAGTATAGTCTAAGGTCTAAATTGGGGCAATGTAATATTTTGGGACTAAAGTAATGATAGAGGAATAGTTAAGAGACTATTTGAGTTTGCATTGTTTTCTAAAATTATTAAATATTAATTTTTAGTTTAGAATTTGTGGCTAAATAATAAATTATGAGTTAGTTTCTAATCATAATATTTTTTAAAATATTATGGTGAATATATATATATATATATATATATATTTATGGTGAGAATAATTTAGATAAGATCTGCGTCATTTGTAAATTAATTTATAGCGGAGCATGAGCACGTGCTTCATGCGTTGGCGCATGGGCATGCATGGGCATGGAAGCGAATAGATTAATAAGGACTCTTAATTATTTATGTTATAATCTCAGTTGTTTTGATAAAGTCATAAAGATGGTTCATCTAACTTTATTTTTTTTTATTTTTTTGCAGATGCATTTTGTCAAATTCTTCAATTGTTGGAACAGTAAGTGTACCCTCCCTCAATTATTGATGAAACAGAAAACAAAAAAAAGTGGTCACATGAATTACATGATCCACGCCTTCAAAATTTTTAAATGAATTGAATCTGTTGCATGGGCAACTGGACCCTACATAAATATAAAGAAATTTATTATGTTATTTACTTTATTTTTATTTAAATTTAGAGAAGTAGTGGCGTAATTGACATCTTTAAATAATCGAAAATTTAATGATGGTAAAATTTTACAGAATTTATTTATTTTTTAATTACATAATCTTTATTATTGAATATTGACAAGCTGTTGTCTTCATTTATGTCACTATGGGATTGCTTGTTACTACAGTATATATTGATTTGTAGCTGGGGATTAGGTGTAAATGGGCCAAGTTGGCTCACTAACCGGCTCGAGTTTGACTTATTTATGGGCTCGCGAGCTGAGCTTATCGAGCTCATGAGTCGAGCATGAGCTCAATTCGAAATTGATGTATCATCAAAAAATTATCTTGATCGGGCACGAATCTCGAGCCAAAATCGAGCTGAAAACTTCAAAAATTAAATCTGAGATCACATGAACTCCGATTTCAGCAAACTTATAGTCAAACTGAGCGTCTCGAAAATACGAACTCAACGACGCCAAATTCGACTCAATCCAAGCCCAAATGAGTCCAAATCAAGCAACCAAAGCGTTGTTGGAAAGTTTAAACCATAATTTGAGTTTCCAAAAGGTTTCCAAATATGACGTTCTTATAGTCGAATCGAGCGACTCGACGAGACAAATCCAACGAGCTCAAGATTGCCGAATTCTGACATCATTAAGATCTCTAAATGTCTAACGAACGGTGAACAAATCAAGGATTCAATATCGGCCGTCCATCCGACCACTCCCTATTTACTCTTGATCTCTCACCTATTTACAAGTCATGTCATTCCAGAATATCTATAAAAAGACCCCTCATTTCTCATGAGAGAAGACTCAAGCAAGAAGAAGAGAAGAAAAAGAGAAGAAGAGAAGAAGAAGAGAAGAAGAAGAGAAGAGAAGGATAAGAGGGAATAACTCCTCGACCACCATTGGAGTTTTGCCCGACGCCAGAGTTTTGTCCGACAACCGAGTGACGCCGAAATTCTGCCAGACTCCCGAGCGACGCCGGAATTCTTCCTGACGCCAAAGTAACGCTAGAATTCTGCCCGACGCCCAAGTGACGACGGAACTTTACCCGATTTCCAAGTGACGTCGGAATTCTAAGCGATTCTGAATTCCGCTCAAATAATCAACTTATTTGTAATTGGATTTCAATCAAGAAGTGAAGCTTTGTAATCCGGTCATCCTAAATTTTAAAGATGAGTCAGCCTCTTGTACCTCAAGCAAACACTAGTGGAATTATTTCAACTGGGCATGCAGGGTTTTCAACGTAAAAACATTGGTGTTATTTCTCTCCTGTTTGTGTGCTAGATATCCGTATAACGCTGAGAAGAAAATTTTCTAACTCTATCGCCGCGTATAATCTAGTCCGCAATAGAGCTCGTTTAGGAAACGAGCTTGAGTTTGAGCTTGATGAGGCTCGGCTCGAAAATTTAGTAATATTTTTATAATATTATTATTTTATTTATTAATTTTAAATATTTTAAAAAATTAATAAAAAAATGCAAAACATTGCAGCTTCTTTTTTAAAAATATCGCCTAAGTTTTAAAAATCATGTCTGTCGTTTTAAAAATCTCGCCTCATGCGTGTAAGCCGATTGGATGTGATTTGATGCGAAAGGTGGTTCATTATTCGCGGAACGAGGCGGTCGGAACTAAGTGACAAGCGGGTGTGGAACAAGGCGGGCGTGAGCGTGAAAGCTTGCTTAGTCACGGTAGGCGGACGACGCGGTCGCGAAAGGAGAATGACGCGGACCGCAGAGGCTCGTGAGCCTACTCGAGCACGTTCACAGTGGGACAAGCTCGACTCGAGGTCGAGTTTGACCTGGCTTTCCAATTGACAAGCCAAACTCGATGGTATTATTACTCGACTTGTTTACACCCCTATACAGTGTAGGATGCAAGATGATCGTGATACTGCAGGAGAGAGAGAGCAGGAAAACATAACAAATAACATGAGATAGATTGCTAATGCAGTATTCAATTCATAATGTTTCAGGTTTTTGTAATAGATGCTATATATGTCCTTCTCCTTCCTATTAGTTGTAAGGAAACTAAAGAAAAACAGAGAAAAAATATTCTATGCAATGTTCTGTTTAATAGATGCTATAGGTATTACTAGAGCTGTGCTATCAAGTAGTGGGAAAATAAGTAGTACGGATTAGGGGTGTCAACACTGTACGAAAATCCGATCCGAACCCGACCCATTTCCAAACCGGGTTGGATACGGTTTTCCGAATTCTACCCGTTTTAAAAACGGGTCGGGTTTGGGTTGACCCGATGGGTTGCCAGGTCAAACCGGAAACCTGGTTAAAACGTCTGCCCGGTCGCTCGTGTACCTGCCCTATACTTCCCAACCATTGCCCGGCTGCCTGCGATGCTTCCCTACCCTGCCAGCGAAGATGCCCGCGCCTGCCAGCAAGCTATCATGCGCCTGAGGTTGCCTGCGCGCTTCCCGCTCGCCCACGCGGCTGCTCGCGGGCCCGCGTCCGCT